TGCTGAATTGGATTCTAAAGCCTAGGTTTCAGTTCAGAAAGACCCTCTCTATCCTGGAAGCGTAAAGAATGTACCGCGATGGCGAAAATAGGCAGCCCTGCCTCAGACCTTTGTTTACACGAATTGGGCCATTGGTTATGGCTCCAAACTGCACACCCACTACATTGTCTCTGTACATCCACCGTATAGTGCAGATTAGCAGTTGAGGTAGTCCAAGGTACACGCGAAGAGAGGACCATGTGGCACGTTGTCGTATGCTTTTTAAACACCCAGAAAGCAGTACAGCAATGTCCTCCACTTTTTTCGGTCAACTTCTGGGCACTGCGTGACGATGCAGAGATTGTCATCCAGCCGTCTGCCTGGTCTGAAGCCATTCTGGAGCCCTTGGTCTCCGCCCAGCCACTCATCCATGCTTTGATCACCCCCGCGAACAAGCGGCAAGCGCCGTAACTATGAGAAACGGGCGGCACGCATGCACTTCGCCCCAACGCGCGGCCACGAAGGAGGTCCCAAACTGCAAGAATAGTTTCTGTAGGAGGTCGTATAGATTACCCCTGCAAAGGTCGATAGTATCATATCTGTCTTATACACAATAGAGTTGGGAATTGAACGTATTAATACTGTTCGAACAGTTTTCGAATATTGAGACAGCAATGTTAAAGACAGGCCTAGAATTGTACATTTCAAATCAGTAATAATTAAGTTCAACAAGGTCGCATTTCCATCACATTAATGAAGAAAAGTTCCCACAGTAATGCAAATTTAGGTACGTTCGTATACATTAGCGACTAGAGCCTTCAAAGTATTTCTTTAACTGTAGGATGAATACACCAGTTACCTTGACATTCGAGGGGGTGCTTGTTCACCAGCTTTTAAACCATATGGAAACCTGTGTTAATTAATAGTTGATGAATGAGCATCACTAATCTCATGATAATGATTGTTTATAGAGGACGTATTGACTCGACATTGGAACTTAAGCCGAAAATTCTTACATGCAGTGACGATTGATTGATTGATTTGTGGTGTTTAACGTCCCCAAACCACTATCTGATCATGAGAGACGCCGTAGTTGAGGGCTCCGGAAATTTTGACCACCTGGGGTTCTTTAACGTGCACCCAAATCTAAGTACACGGGCCTACAACATTTCCGCCTCCATCGGAAATGCAGCCGCCACAGCCGGGATTTGATCCCGCGACCTGCGGGTCAGCAGCCGAGTACCTTAGCCACTAGACCACCGTGGCGGGGCTCATGCAGTGACGAGTGAAGCTCCATGAAAGCTTGACTTTCAAGCTTTTTTGTAAGTCACGAAGTAAAACTAGTAAAATTATCATTTGGTCTTCCAACATTCTGTTTTATTTCCATTGTATCATGAATATTCGAAAAGTATTCAAGAGACCAAACTTGCACTTTCAAAATGCGCGCGCTATTCGACTCGACTACTGGATTGAACACATCGCTATTTGGTTCCTTACTCAAAATTTTCGAATACTGGTACACCTCTGATAAAACTGCTCTATATTGTTACGTCATTGCACACCGCTTAAAAGACAAACGCTTGAGATGAAGAGCTGGACGGACACAAGCGCAGACTGTCAGCTAGCCGGATTTCCGTGAAACTAAGGTGGTCGCTAGGCACGATAATCAGATGACGCGCAAAATATTTGAGGCGTCCAAGATTATTTGCCAGGAAGATGACCGCGTCAGTATGGCTTCTTTGGTGCCGACACAGAAAGAAGTGATGTACTTAAACCCGTAATGCAAGATGTGCGATAGGTGCGTGTTACCACGGCATGAGTGGTCATTTGAATTGTATATTGTGTAAAAATTTTGTAATTCATTTCTGTATTTTTTTGTAACCATGAAACTCAATTGCGTAAAAGCATCGAGCGTCCATCCAATGAACTCAATTGACGCTTGTGTCTGTCTGGTCCTTCATCTCAAGCATTCGTCTTCTAAGCAGTGCGCATTAACGTAACGATAAATAGCTACCAACTCACTCAAGCAAGTACCCTTAAATCTGCTGCTTGGCCAAGTTGGTTCATGATTAAGATAGGTTTACCAGCGCAAAAAGACAAAGCACGGAGGAAGGAGTACAGCGCTGATTCCTTCTCATGTGGTTCGTATTTTTGCGCTGGTAAATCTATTTTAATGACACCCCTACTATACACCAATAAGTTGGCCCTTTGGCCAATTCACGTCCAGTAATTGTACCTCGAGAATATGGAGCAGTCATGCGCGATAAATTGCCAATTTATCACGCTAGACTGCTCCATGTTCTTCAGGTACTATTACTGGACATCCTTAATTATTTGCATATTGTAGGAGGGAAAAAGTATACCACTATGTTGAATAGTTTTCTAGTTTACCTCGGCTGTCACTCACTTTTTTTTCTCCAGGCTGTCCAGAGTTCTGATGAGTCGCTCATTCTCCCTGCAGACGAGCTCGTGGTCTCTGACCAGCATCTCCCTCATGTGGTGCATGGCGGCGTTCTCGATTCTGCGCAAATAAAGCTCACGCTGTACACAGACCGCGTTGCAATTCCAGAACCAACTGAGTGTCGCAGAAAAAATATTACGTCACACTATCAGTCTCAGTATAGACCATCCGTTCGGGTCACCGTCACAAGTCGCCAGTATGGCGCTTCACAGTAACTATAAAAATTATATCAGCGGCCTCAAATATTTCGAGGATTCCCACCTTGTCCTTTCAAGGGCCACTAAGGGAATATTAGGCGCCGACTGTTGTTTAGGGTACCCTCTCCCTAGATTCTTATGAGGCGATATTAAGATCACAGAAATCGCAATGTTGGTATACTCGCGCGTTGTGAACTGCTCCTTTTTTATTTTTTGTTTTGTTAACTACGACAACACATTTGCCGCCTTTTTAGCTACGCCAGTTCATCTGGGAACGGGAGGAATTTGTGAAAAAAAAAAGCGGTGTTGGTGGTAACAGTAACGTCGTTACCGGTAACGCATTATTTTTATTTAGTAATTTAGTTACGTACTCACTACCGTTCCGGAACTATTACGTGAGACGTACTTACATTAACAATTTTCGGTAATGGGAAGAGTGACGTTAACTGCTAACATTTTCAATCTAATAATTCTAGGGTGGATCTACCCGCAGCCAGGCAGGGGTTGGCATCCTTTCCATGGCTGAGTTGCATGGAGTGACCGTAACGGCAAATCGCAAAGGTGGAGGGGTGGGGGGTTAGTTATCGCAGGCAGAAATAAAAATTCCGCTAACTTGTAGCTGACAATATTGTAAAGAATGAGAATAAATATGGTGTTTATATTCACAAAGTTGCAATGTACACACGTGTAGGTTAAACCCATTTGAGGTCAACACTGCCAGCAGAGAGGGCAGTGACGAGGAGATTCCGACATCGTGCGTGGCGCCGCGCAGTCCGCTGACCTCTGACCTGATCTGTCGTGTTTGTCATTTACCGCATCTGCGGACGCATTGACCAAGGCGTGAATCAAGCTGTTTGATGACACCTTTCAAATAGAGCAGAACCACGTTCTACTAGTTGCTGCTGTCAAATCGTCGTGTCGAAAACACTGTAGCACTGTTTATGAATCTTGCTTTCAAAATAAACTGGCTTTCATTCATCTCCGACTGCAGGTACACTTTTCCAGTTGTCCAATGTCTGAGCGAGCGATCGGCTCACCCTGAAAGTTTTCACACGAGCACTCGCAGTATTTGCGGCAGTTAAACTCAAGTTAAAGGGACACAGATATTTATGTTTGATGCCTTTTTATTGGAGCTATGGAATCGAATAATTTCTTCTTTGTGACATAATTTCCGCAAATGTTTTGTTATTAAAAGTTCGCCGTAAGAAACACTTTAAGTTTGTGGAGAGCTCAGCGGTGTTTTCTTTTTGGAGAACGTTGATGACGAAATATCGCTTTATATGTTTCGCCACTTTGAGAAATGGTTGTATCACAATTCGCATAAACCACCACGTGCGACTCTAGGTCCAAGTAATGTTGCAAAAGTTGATATATTATTTTGCGGAAGGTATTTTCGTTATCTAAGTTTTATAACAGAAATTCTTGTTCGGGCTACAAGTTTTATGTAAGATTTAAATACAACCTTTATTACATCGTTATTATGCGTGCCCACAGTGAAGGCACAATGCACAAAATACATCTGACAATGAAGTACCAGCAAAAGCAACGAGCGTTACTGTTGTTCAGGAATGCTAACGCGTTGCCCTTTGGCAACACACACACACACACACACACACACACACACACACACACACACACACACACACACACACACATATATATATATATATATATATATATATATATATATATATATATATATATATATATATATATATATATATATATATATAGTGATGAGCGAGACAGAGAACAAGAGACAACACCCGATTCTGGGCCAGCTGTTCTTATCTAACTTCGTTCTTCTCTTCTTTGCTCTAGCTACCCGCGCGCCGAAGCGCCAACGTCTTTCTTGCTCATGACACTCGGCCATGACTGTGCGCGCGCGGAGCTGTTGGCAAAAATTCTAGTGGGCTGGCTTGGCTGCATCGTGGTGGACCACAATACAACATGGAGCGACGGTCTGGGGGAAGCGTCTCTGGTGGACGGCACTGGCTGCATCTCGGAGGTCGGCCTTGGCCACACTGAAACTGGGTGCCCGAGTCTTCCACAAGTCTATCGGGAGGTCTAGACTGGCTGCATCGTTGTGGTCCGTCTCGGCCATGCAGAGACTCTCTGTGAGAAGCAGCTCAACATGCACCCGACAGCGCGCTTCGGAGGGGCCGCAAAATCAGCGACAGGCGTTGAACTCCGGACGAGGGTAGCCGAAAGAGTATCCCAAAATACGTGCTGGGTACCTTGGCTTGTGTCGAGAATGGGTACGCAACTTCTAAGATGTGTGGCAGAGAACATAATTTACGGCCGGTTTTGGCATCGGCGGCAGGACGTTTTGTGAAGCTGTCATGGTATTGGCTGCTGTCTGCATCTTGAGCGCCAACTTTCTCCTCATGATCTTATTCAGTTAGATCAACAGTGGTTACCTTGGGCTCTACCGGCGCCATGACCGTAGGCGACTCAAGCATAGGCGATGTTGGTGTCTCCACTTGCCTCAGTAAAGGTGATATTGGGGCTGGCTTCTCTAACTGAGCTGTATGAGGACTGGTACCAGCCTCTTCCACTGACATGATGGCGTCGGGTACCGGCGCGGGTACTGAGAGCAGCAGTGGCGTGTCGCACCTGCGTCTGACGTCATTCGTAGGACAGGCGGAGAAGCTTTCTGCCGCGCGGCTGGAGGGCTCCGAGGAACCTTCGAAGTGTTGCTCCACTTCTGCTCGGAGTGCGAATGGGGGTGCGTCGGTGAAGGGCAATGCAGCACAGTCGAGATGATTCTCTGCGGCTGTTTCGTTGGAGCAACGCCCTTCAAGAGGTCTGACTTCGGTAGCGGCCTCTGGCCGCAGTGAACTTGCTTCGGGTATCGACAAAGTGTCCTAGGGTAAGCTACAGCGCACAGCTGCAGCCTCGAGGTGGAAAGCCTCTGGAGCTTGCTCCTCGATACCGGCCAGGTTGAACTGGGTGGGGGAAGGGAGATCGGAGAGTGTCCGGCCGAAGGCAGCTATGAGCTTGGAGCTCCACTCCACCCAGGACTGCTGCTTGAAGCCTTCATACCGGTGCCACGCCGCTGCACCTTCCCGAAGACGGTCTACAGCCACGGTCCGTTTCTGAGATTCCGTCCAGGCCTCGCGCATTGCTATCGCGTTGACGGTTGCCACCCAGCTGTCGGCGTCGTTCCGGACCCCGTGGAATTCCGGTAGTTCGCAGACGGCTGGTGATTGTGAGGTGGCAGGTGGCAATTAACGCAGAGACCACCGAAGCGAAGCACCCGAGCTGGTGTGAGAGCTCGATCAGAGAAGACCGAAGCTCCCTGCGTTGCTCCGGTGTGCTTGCCTCAAGGTCGTATGAGGCAGCTACATTCGAAACTGCGTTAATGTCACACAATGCTGGCAACAATGTAGGAGCTCGCTCGGCGATCAACGCTGTCAGTTTGTTAGTCTCGGCGCGGAGCAGTGCGAGGGCACGCCGCAGCTCCACGGCACTGTCGCAGGAGGCTTCTGAACCGCTTTGGTTCGCGTCCGTGAAGTACGTGGTTCTAGTAGTACTCACGGTGGTGACACGCACGTCCAAGGAAGCATGAACAGCGTTTCTTGGCGGCTCATGTGTTGGAAGAGTTCCGGACAGGGAATGCAGGCCGTGGAAAGGTTGAACAGCATTCCCAAAGGACAGGAGCCCGTGCGTATTACGGCCGCGAAGTGGTAGCGTAGTGTCTATTGGGTGATGCCCTGGTACCACAGAGGAGGCATGGACACCGTCCACTGATGGTCCGATGGGCAGCTGAAGCGGTGGCCGGGTTGTCGACTCCATCGCCAAAGAAGCGTGAACGGCGTTCCTGGATGGAGGAGCCCGGGCTGCCGACGAACCACGAAGACACGTACCGGTGGTTTCCCGCAGAGGGTTCACTTGTCGGCTTGCGCTGACGGCAGAATCCATAGCCAAGGACGCGTGGACGGCGTCCCTTGTGAAATGGTACCGGTAACGTGTACTGCAGCCGCCGAGGAGGCCTTGACGCCGTTTCCGAACGGTGGTGGCAGTGGCGGCAGGTGAACAGCTGCCGAGGAGGCCTTGACGCCGTCCTCAAGCGGCACTTATCGCAGCTGTCCTGGAGGACTAAGCCGGGACGCAAGACTTCTTCTTCGTCGGCTGCGCCATTGTGATGAGCGAGACAGAGAACAAGAGACAACACCCGATCCTGGGCCAGCTGTTCTTATTATGACTTCGTTTTTCTCTTCTTTGCTCTAGCTACCCGCGCGCCGAAGCGCCAGCGTCTTTCTTTCTTGCTCATCACAATATATATATATATATATATATATATATATATATATATATATATATATATATTCAATGTGTGCATGTATGTATATATATGCAAAAAGAGGTCCGGAACCTAATAATAAAAATTGTGCGCGGCGGAGCAGGCAGTTGTCGAAAAAGAGTGGTCAAGTAAGGACCATATGCCCCGCCGCGGTGGTCTAGCGGCTAAGGTACTCGGCTGCTGACCCGCAGGTCGCGGGCTCAAATCCCGGCTGTGGAGGCTGCATTTCCGATGGAGGCGGAAATGTCGTAGGCCCGTGTGCTCAGATTTGGGTGCACGTTAAAGAACCCCAGGTGATCAAAATTTCTGGAGCCCTCTACTACGGCGTATCTTATAATCATATGGTGGTTTTGGGACGTTAAACCCCACAAATCAATCAATCAATCAAGTAGGGACGATACGGCGGTAGTTTTGATGAATTTTGGAAGTGCCATTTTTCTACTTGCGGAAATATTCTGAACAAACACAGTGTACCCTTGTCGAACCGTGCCTTTTTAAACCACGACATCGACAAACGAGGGAACTGCTGAGAAATCTACTGCACCGAACCTGAATAT